CCAAACTCAGGATTCTTAACCTACTCAATTTTACAAGAATTATCATATTTTTCTTATATTTTTCGGAGCACCTTTCCGGTACGTGCTTTTCATAGCCAGTATCGGTTTCTGGCACCAGTTCTCATTATTTTAACTCGTTTTACAAGTCCTACATAATATTCTAGTAATTATCATGTACTTATTATAATTTTTTGGGATACTTTTTCGGTACGCATTTATACCGACTAGCAGAATCGGTATTTGCACTTTTCGTCAGAAAAACGACTTTCAGCATTATTACTCACTAACTATAATTATTAGAGCCTCATAATAATTATTAGGGTCAATTATGGATTATCTCATTAAACTCATAATTAACTGATTATTTTCCTTAATTAACGGTGCAGGTTCTTACATTCCTAAAAGCAAGGATTCGAATCCCTTATGAAAAAGATTCAAATCCTTACTGTCCAAAATGCATATAACGGCTATAAATGACTAGTTTTAAATAGAAACACTATATATGCATTCCCAACGGCTCTAAAACGATTTGGGTATCTTTTTTACACATCTTAAGCATATTTTGAGAGCTTCTACACCATCATTTGCATATTCATTCATATCTTTCAAAGATCACACATATTTGAGCTCATATTGTGAGAATTCACATACCCATAGTGCTTCAAATTGTATATCCACAATTTGAGTGTATATTTATTTCAAACCATTTCCTTTTGTATTCTTGAACTTAGAGGGTTGTGAGACCCATTGTATTTGAGAGGTCAATAAATACCTAAGTAAATTTGAAGTGAAATTGTAAAGCATCAAAGAGCCTGAAGTCTTAGAATGTTGTAGCGGTTTGTCAAGCACCCGTGAAGCTTGACCATTAGTGAAAAATTTGATCGAGCGGCTTCAGTCTGGACGTAGGTCACAAGTGGTGGTGACCGAACCAGGATATATCAAGTTTGCATTCTTCCTAACCCTTAACTATTTATTTCTAGCACTTTAATTGCTTCTTTGATGTTATGTATGTGCTAATATAAATTGTTAATTGTGGTAGATTGTGTATATTGATTTGATTTAATATATTGAAAATCTTCTCAAACATCAAAGTGTGGATGAAAAGGTAATTTAGAAATAAGAAGGGTGATTTTACGAAATTTTGTAATACTCAATTCACCCCCCTCTTGAGTATAGAAGTCGCATTCCTAACATCAAGTCAGTGTTTCCTATAAATATAGAAGCTCATTCACATATAAAAAGATTGCAATCATTGAAGAACCATTCCATGACTTCGTTGCGAGGAATCCAACAGGTCAAAAGGGTGAAACTAAGGTCCAATTGAGAGATCATTGGATCCGGTTGATCCCAAACACTTTTCCAGGAGTTAGAGACGACAAAGAGTGGCGATGCATGGAGTTGGACTGGAGCTACTGCAACACGTCTATTTTACTTTATCTTAGTTTCTATAGAGTTTTCTTCTTTATTTTTTTTCTTTTAAATATGAGTTAAATCATCTATGATTGGGTGATAGAACATCTATATTGTAATATAACCATGGATTCATATACTCTGTTATTGTTATTTTTCATTAGTTGTTTAATAAAGTGCTTACTTATAATATTTTTGACTAACTGTGAAGAAGTAACAAGTGTCTTGCGATTTGGGCTATAGGGATACATGTAAATTCAGATTCTTATTAAATAATGTAGATTAATCAAGTTAATTGAATCTAGTTAAGTTGTGGGTATATGGATAGTCCACACCATCTAGTCGTAGGGAACTTGCACTTAATTGAATCCAATAAATAATTTTTGCATAGGGATATTTGGATTAGTTGTTAGGTTATACATATAAAGTTGGTGAGAGCCCCTACATACAGTTGTGTTCTGGTTACTAATGGAGGATTGCTATAACATTGTTTTAACATTTTAGTGATGTTGCAATATCGTAAAATTAATCCCAAACACCCTTAATACTTGAATCTTATATATTTTAGTGGATTTTAATCTTAACCATTAATCTTAACTTAGTTTTATCATTAGTCTTAGTTTAGCCCTAGTTTTGTCCTTAGTTATTATCATTGTCAGTCTTATTTAGGGCTGTACGTGGGTCAGGTCGGGTCAAGTTTTTGTCCGACTCAACCCAACTTGATTTTTATAGGTCAGGTATTTTGACTCGACCCGCTTTAATTTGATCCAAGTCAGGTCTGACTTGGTTTGGATTTTGTTGAACTAGTTCAAAACTGGATCGGATCTGACCTGAATTGGTTTCTGAAGTGGGTCTGACTTGGTTTCTGAAGTGGGTCAAATCTGACCTGACCCGTTTTTGACTTGGTTTCCTAACAAAATTTCGTCAAAATTTCTACATTGCAAATGACGAGAATTTCGTCACAAAATTATTTTTTCGTCGGAATACTTTTTGTCGAAAAGCAACGAAATTTTTTCTCTAATGAAAATTTTTACAAAAATAAATTTTCTATCGAAATTTAGTTTCCCTCAAAAGTTTTGACGAAAATGATTTCTTCCATCAAATGTTTTAAACGAAAAAAAAATTCTATCAAAAATTTTGACGGAATGTTTTTCGTTCAAAATTTCGATGGGGATGTGTTCTGACGAAAATTTCAACGGAAATTATTTTGAGAAAAATGTTTCATTCGAAACTTTCGACGAAATTTAGATTCTCTAAAGAATTTTGACAGAATATTTTTTCCGTCAAAATTTTTTATCGAATTGTTTTTAACATAAATGTTTTCCGTAGAAAATTTTGATGGAAATAATTTTTATCAAAAAACTTGACGAAAATATTTAGTTGAAAATTTTCGATGGAAATGTGTTTCGCTAAAAATTTTGACGAATTTTTTTTTTTTGTCAAAAAGTTTAACGAAAATTTTCCGTCGAAAACGTTCGCCGAAATTTGAAATCTGTAAAGAATTTTGATGAAATTTTTTTGATGGAAATGTGTTTCGTCCAAATTTTCGATGGAAATTGTTTTGAGGGAAATGTTTCATTCGAAACTCTCGATGAAATTTATATTCTCTAAAGAATTTTAACAGAATATTTTTTCCGTCAAAATTTTTATCGTAATATTTTTTGTCAAAATTTTTTACGAAATTATTTTACAGAAATGTGTTCCGTTAAAAATTTTGATGAAAATATTTTTTATCAAAAAACTTGACAAAATATTTAGTTGAAAATTTTCGATAGAAATGTGTTTCACTAAAAATTTCGACCAATTTTTTTTTTTGTCAAAAAGTTTAATGAAAATGTTTCCGTCGAAAACTTTCGCCGAAATTCGAAATCTGTATAGAATTTTGATGAAATTTTTTTCCTTTAAAAAATTTCGATGGAAATGTGTTTCGTCAAAAATTTTGATGAATATATTTTTTTGTGAAATATTTTGACGAAATTTAGATTCTGTAAAAAAATTATTCTGTCAAATTTTTTTATAGAAATGTTTTTAGTCACAAATTTTGTTGAAAATATTTTTCGTCGAAAAATTTTGCGAAAATTTTTTATGGAAATATTTTTCGTAAAATTTTTTGACGTAATTGTTTTACGTTAAAACTTTTCTTTTAATGTAATTGTGATTTTTTTTTTTCACATAATGGGTATGGGTCAAGTTTTGGGTCAATATTAAAACAAGTCAGGTCTAAAACTTACCCGAATAAAAGTGGATCAGTATTTAAACCAGTTTAAAAAAATATAAGTATTTACGGGTCAGGTTAAGGTCGGGCCAAAGGCAGGGCAAGTGAACCAGTTTTTTTGCACACCCCTAGTCTTATTGCTTCACTTTGAACTCAACTTTATTGTTTTTTTTGTAGGATTGATATATGGACTTACACATCCTATATTGCTTGCGATAACGTGCATTTTACATTGAGATTGATTATTATTAATTTGCAAAATTGCACAACAACCACATCACTCTTATTCCGTAAAGACCATGCTAAAGTATCAATGACAAACCCCAGCTCCTTAACATAGATCCAAGTCTCAACGGGTATAAATGTTGACCAATAGTCCTTAAGGCTCACAAAGTGATGAAGAACGTATCCAATCAACACTTATGTTTCTCAATATAGTAGCACATACAATATAACTTGCATTTTGAGGTGAGCTCTCATTTAGGGTTTGTCACACTTCATCTTTCACTAAATATAACGTGGTAAACCACAAAAATTAACTTCAATCACTCATATTTTATACAAAATTCATGGTTTGTGGAACCTCCTTGTAATATCTCACGTTTACATTGATCTAAGGAGTGGGAGAAAGTGATAAAAAAGTATAAAAAAATTGTGAGCGAAACTGCTGTTATCTTAAGTTACTCAAGTAATTAACCCATAATTATTATATTTAAACACAACTTTTTGTTTCTCAATTATCTATATCTTCAATTTCTATACAAAGAAAAAGAAAATCAATTTTTCAAATGTTTCCAATAAATTCAAGTTTTTTCTTTCAATTTTCACACTCACCCCACGCATTCAATTCTCCTAAATAGAAAAGTTTAGTTTACGATTTCTCACCTAAAAAAGTAAAAAAAAAAAAAAAATGTTTAATAATTTAAAAAAAGTTATTTTTACAATTTGGCTTTAGGCCACAAATTATTTATATAAAATATTCATATAAGTATTGTTTCGATCAAACAAAACAAAATTTATTCATTTAACATGTCTAAATAAATATAATGACCTACATGTATATAAAATTAAAAAATACATTTAAATACTATTATTATTAATAAAACTAAGAAAAAGTAACACAATTATTAAATTTCAAATATAACTATATTATATTTCATTTAAGTTATAAAAATGTTTAGATAAATTTATTTCGTACTAAAATATTTTAACAAATTTTTTCCTTTGTTTTAATACAATGGCTTCGAGATTCAAACTTATACAAATCCCTCAGTGCTAACACACACCTAGTGGCTTCAAAATTTCTCTCTTATAACATTGATTATATACTTTTCTTAAAGCTACTGATTCAAATATACAATAAATATTTGTCAATTAAATAAAAAAACTGATAGTCATGAATATTAAATTTAAACAATATACCAAACACTAAATATTTATACAAAATAGTTCACACCTTCATAAAACAGATCCAGACTGGTAGACTCAGGTCTCATACCGTTTCACTCCAAGCAACCAGCATCAGTGCATAGCATTTCTCAATCACAAGGAGATTAATTTCAAAGAAAAAAGAAAAGAAAACATTGTTCTACTCACATATTCATTCAAATGGCCACCCAGAATACCCAGTATGATGGCTATTCTCATGGATAGTTGGTGTTGGTGAGCTACTTCCGGTTGCTCCATCACTACTGCTAGAATTAGAAGAACGGAAAGGCCACAAAAATGAGAACGGATTTCGCCTTCCCTGGTTCTCTCTACCACTAGCCCTTCCATTGCCACTGCTACTTCTACCATTTGAGCCATGGTTACCACCACTCAATCCTTGAGGTGGCAATTCTTGACGACAAACCGGGCAAGAGTTATGCTGAACCAACCAAGGAACAATACAATCCGAGTGATACACATGGTTACATGGCATTTGTCTTGCTTCAGACCCAAGTTCGAATTTATCTTTGCAAATTGGACAATGTGAATCTGAACGAAGATGCCTATGTGTGATCTTGACAGTAGGCATTGCATCTATAGAGGACCTTGATGCTGGTGGGGGTCCTTGCCTGTTATTAGCTGAAAGCTGTTCAAACAGTTCTTCAAGTCCAGGACCGATAAAATAATCGCCTGTGTTACCTCGTGTCATCCCGATTCCTGGAGTTCCATTAAAGAGAGCTTCAAAGCCACCATGTCCTGACAATCTGAAAGGAATTTGGCCACCAAAGATCAACAATGGAGCAAAACCTGGACTGTGTTCAGGAATTGAATCTGGCCGTGCTCTGATACCATGGCTATGGTTTCTATCTGCCATTCGATGCCTCATAAAGGGTGAGAAAGTTTCCATGAGTCCAAACCTTTGGTCACGTTCGTTGTTGTGGTCCAGTCCAAAGATGTCTTGAGGGTTAACGTTCACCATATCATCAAGTTCTTGAACAAATCCCTCATTACAGCTAGGACAAACCATACCTCGCCTTCCCAGTCGAACGGGCCTCCTGCAAGTATAACACCAATGAGTGTTCCTGCTATTTGACATCCTCTTGTTTACTTCCTTAATAGTCTCAAACAAGTAATTTCAAGGCTCCTTCCCGACACCGTGTTATCTTTGACTGTTACAACAGCATTATCACTGATATACCCTGCAAAATAAGTTTGATAAAAGTCAAGGAATATGAACTCTATTATAAGTTATTGGATATCACCCTGATTTAGACGTGAAACACTAATATTGAACTAAATGCCATGCAGCTCTCAACAACTAATAAATAGTGGTGAGAGTAGGAGACTATTCTAATTGTCTGTGAAGCTGAGTATTTATTAGTTACATAGAAAGTGTTAGTGCTTGTTTAAGAAGCATCTATCAAATTTATCAATGACTAGTGACTCTTCCAACAACTTTCTAAAAAGCCAGGGCGTGGACATAAGAGAGCAGCAGAAATGTAGCCGGTCTATGTATTCACAAATTTCACCTCTATACTATTGATGGGCAAGCGGAAAAATCATTTAAATCAATTCCAACCTCTCCTCTTTATACAAATATCATGAATCAGAATGAAGCTTTGATATAAGGATATAATATTTTGGTTAGTTCAACTGATCTAAAACTAGAAGATAGAAGAGATAGAGAGAATTTCAGTATCATATATTTCCATGACCACAAGTCATTAACAATCTTGCACTTAAGATTCTCCAAATCTGAGAAGACTTAAATAATAAGCTTTGAGTTCGATGAAAAAGTTAGTAATATTGAATTATCAGCTAAGAAGCAAGGACAACACAGCAAAAAAGAAAGGCATTTTCTGAAGTGCCACGACATATTTGACACAAACACGAGCACAAACCAGGAAGATCAATTAAATCAATTCCAACCTCTCTATACAAATATGGTGAATCAGAATGAAGCTTTTTTACATGGAAAATATTTTGATTAGTTCCCAGGGCAATGGGTCTAAGACTAGAAGATAGTGGAGATAGAGAAATATAATCTGTGTATCATTTATTTCCATGACCATAAGTCATTATTGATCTTCCACTTAAATTCTCCAAATCTAAGAACACTTACAAACTATGCTTCCAGTTCCACAATAAAGTCACAAATATTGAATGGAAAAACATTTTCGAACATGTTCTGACCCTTTGATTTGCGTGCAAAACTTTTCTTTTCTTTTTCTCTTTTTAATAAATGTGGGACCCACCACTAGTTGAGTCATAACATGAGAATTCAATTCTCATGCAACATGAGAAAATCAAATCTCATATTGACTTGCAGGATAAGAAGCAAGGACAACACAAAAAAACTATAGTTCCAATTGTTAGAAATCGGCATCAGTATATAAATTATAATTATCTAAAATCATATGTCCATGTCAAGGTGATACAACTACTGCTGAATTCTAAGCATAGCTTCATGAGAATGCGTAATTAGTAAGCAATTACTCTTGAAAGCTCCCCAGATTCAATTCAATTGTTTTCTCCATAGTCTACATTCAAAATTTAGTTTATTTAATTATTCTTGGTTAGGTTGGGGGCATATCTGATTTTGCAATCTTCGTATGTTTGGAAAATATAAGAAGTTTTTAGAACAAGTAAAGATTGTAAGATCTTTGAAATCCAAATAGAAATTTAAAATTAAACGTGAATGGATTAGTATCTAGAACCTTCCACAACCCCATCAATCATAATCCAAGATTAGCTAAAAATGAAAAAAAAATAAAAAAAATGCTAAGGTTTAGATGAAGTGAACAAAACAAATAGAGGGTACAAAAACATTTTACCACACACAAATCTGAATAGGAAATTACATGCTGATTAGAGATGAGTGAGTGAGTGAGTGTGAACAAAGGGGGCAAAAAAGAATGTAGAGAAACTCACAGCAACTTTCACGAGCCCTAACCAACTCACACGTTGATGGGAGCAGAGAAAGCAGATTATTGCTGAACCGACATCAAGCTGAGCTGGCATTCGCATCCTCCCATTCTTCTACAGTTCCTATTTCTAGAGCACTCCTTAGGTTGTATATTTTCTTTTTTCTTTTTTTTCTCTCCGTCCGTGTTCACTAAATTTGTTTTTTTATATGATAATTTAGGGACAGTGCCATTTTGTCATGTTTGGACAAAAAAAATTATCAGATTGCCACGCTAACAGTAAATTTTGTCAAACTTCTACGCGGCATAATTCGCTACATAGTGTAGCGCATTATGTATGCAAGTAATTCGCTCCACAGTGTAACGAAATATGCTACGTCAGAACCAAAAAGTGTCGTGAGTCAAAATTGTTGAAATTCGCTATCCTATGTAGCGAATTTCAACAATTCTGACAGATGACACTTTTTGGTAGGACAGTGATCAAAATGCCACGCTTTAGCAAAAAATTACCAAAATGTCATGCGAACAGTAAAATTTTCCAAATTGCCACGCGGCATAATTCGCTACACAGTGTAGCGAATTATGTATGCAAGTAATTCGCTACACAGTGTAGCGAAATATGCCACGTCAGAATGCACAGAACCAAAAAGTGTCATGTGTCAGAATTGTTGAAATTCGCTACATAGGGTAACGAATTTCAACAATTTTGACACATGGCACTTTTTGGTTCTGACGTGGCATATTTCGCTACACTGTGTAGCGAATTACTTGCATGCATAATTCGCTACACTGTGTAGCGAATTATGCCGCGTGACAGTTTGACAAAATTTACTGTTGGCGTGGCAGTCTGGTAATTTTTTTATCCAAACTTGGCAAAATGGTCACTATCCCCTTTTTGGTTCTGTGCATTCTGACGCGGCATATTTCGCTACACTGTGTAGCGAATTATGCCGCGTGACAATTTTGAAAATTTTACTGTTCGCATAACATTCTATTTTTTTGTCGACATTTTGTTAACTGTCCCGATAATTTATCCCACAATGGATGTGCTGTAAAGTCTTAATTGCAACGTCTCGCCTCCGGTTAGAATGAGCACCAATAAAATAACATTAAATGTAATTACCAGGATACCCTCGTTTTCAATGTAATTATCCTTGTGCAATTTTATATTTATATTTTTTGCTGGGCCATGTAGGAGGAGTCTTTTAATGTGTCTGAGACGCCAGAAAAAATCTACAATATCATTTTCGTATGTACAATTCATCAAGTATAAAATATCAGCTGACATATTTTTTTAGAAAGAGAGAAATCCATTGGATTTTTAATTGCAAGATTTTAGGTTTAAGTTTTTGTGAATATAAATTTTTTTTGGAAGAATTAATTCAATTATGATGTGAATATTTTTCCCTCGAATATAATTACCTTATGTGAAATATACATATACTTTATCTAAGAAAAAAAAAGAGGCATTTAAACTTCCCATTATCAACGACTAAATTTATACTGTAAACAACAACAATGATTTTAAAATCAAGTCAGTAACTAGTAAACAATTGGTTAACCAGATCAAGTCATATCTTAAATTTTTTACTGCCAAATATAAAAAAAAAAAGATTTATTTGAATGCTGTTTTTAAAAACAATTTTTTAATTTTCAGAACAAGAAAGTAAAATAATATGTTTGATAACGCTTGTTGTATAAAAATAGTTCTAGAAGCTATAACTATTTTTTAGTTCTTAGAATCAAATATAGAGAATATGAGCTTGTTTGATTGTGTTCTGGTTTATTTGTTCTTAAAACTGTTTTATAAAATAGTTATGGAAACAGTTGTTTTTTTATATTTATTTATTTTTGAAAATTAAAAATCAAAACAGAAAACAAAAACAACTCAGACATGTTCTCTAAATTTGATTCTAAAAACAAAAAAATAGTTATAGTTTTCAAAATATTTTTTACAAAACAGCCTTTACCAAACGAGTTTTTTAATTTTTTTGTTCTGAAAACTAAAAAACTGTTTTTAAAAACTATAATCAAACAGAGCCTATATTTCAGTTATTTCTCTTTTGTATTTTGACTTTCAATTTTCAAAAAAAAAATGCACACTTCATTAATTATTTTATAAAATAATTTTAAGAAAAGAAAAAAGAAGAACACAATCGAACATGCCTTTACATAATAACAATTTGACTAGACTTTATTCGATATTCCTATCAACTCCTTTAAACCATAAATTTGATTTTTAATGGTAGGTTAAATTCATTCTCTTTGTTTTGATAAAAATAAGTCAAAGTTATTATCAAACTTAAGGTCAACATTTGTGTTTTAAATCAATATTCAATCACGCTACTTGAGTAAACTATTTGAACAAGTGAGCTCGTATTAAGAGATATTAGCAAATTGCAACCTATTTAAATCTTTGAATTTCGGCCTAATTGTGCTTAATCAAGCCATTTCACTTAACCGCCCTTGTTAGTGTTTCAATTTTTATTTTTATTTTGATAACCTGGAGAAATCTCTATACAATCTCATTCAGCTACATTGTTTTCAGAGTGTAGCCCCTAAGGCTAGCTCCTCATTGCATTAAACCACTATCACCTGAAGAAGAGTGAGATTAATCTCCCATAGAGGGGGGATGTGGTTTTTCCTCTGACCCCTAAAGAATTTCAAGAATTTATTTTGGCTAATGTTTGAACTCTTAACCAAAGCAAACTCTTGGTCACTCAATTGTCAACTGAGCTTCCCTTGGGGGTTTATTGTTTCAAATTTTAAAACATTGGTACATAATACACATTTTCTTTATAAAATAATTTTAATGGTTAAAAATTAGATCAACAGAAACTTGTTTTAAGAATATTATTAGGAATATAACGGTAATTTAATTCTTTATAAAATTTTATCTATTAGAATAGGATGAGGTGTATATATTTTAGAATTCTTCTTTTCTTGTTGAGTTGTTCCATTACAACTCAATTGATGCATTGTAAAGTGTCTCACTTTTCATCAGGTTAGAAATATAATTAAGAATATATTTTTTCTCTCATCTTTCATTCTTTTACCTATATTTTCTCTTTTACAATATCAGAGCTCTCATTGTGGCTTGAACCAAATATTTTCCTATCAAATGGCTTCCACTAAATTCAAATATAGGCTCATTGCCCCTCACAAACCAATGCCTTAAGCCACTCAGCCATACCTTCAAGTTGTTGATCAGAATTTGATGTGCAGTTGGTTGCCCAAAGGGCTATCTGATCCGATCAACTGCATAAGCCGTAGCGCGTTAGCACAGTGAAACTCATCAAAAGTAACTTTGTCATCTGAAAAAACTAGTAGAAGTCACACCAACTCCAATGTTACCTAATCAACCTACAAATACCACATTGATACCTCACTGAGGAAGATCAAGTCAAACCAACTTACATTGAGTGTGAAACCCAATATCAGACACTTTTTTCATGGCTTATGACCACTCTATCAGAACCCATCGTGAATAAAGTGTCGGGTCTTGTTCATTCGTGGTAGGTTTGGGGGAAAATACATAAATATTTTAATGGGCTTACAAAATCCAAAGCTAGGAAGATATGAGCTAAGTAACTGAGTAGTAAGAAAGGAGGAAGAATCATTTATGAGTATCTTCAAGTCTAGGCAAAGGCTATGTATTTTTAATGGTAACTTTGTTCAGTTACCTATAATCCACACACATCTCATGTTTCCATCCTTTTTCTTGACAAAGAGCACTGAAGCTCCCCAGAGTGACACACTTGGTCCGATTAACTGCTTTGATTGAAGTTCCTCTATTTGTTTCTTCAATTCAACAAGCTCCAAGGGTAACATCCTATAGGGTGCAATTGGACCTACTCCAGGTATTAAATCAATGAAAAATTCAATATCTCCTTTTGAGGGTAAACTTGGATTAACATTTGGAAAAACCTCTAAGTATTCAGAGACCACAAGATTACTAATTATATCAGGTTTGTCCTTTTTTTTTTGAAATATTAAAGAGAATATATCATTGTGATCCTTCTAACATACTCTTTCAAAGTTGAGAGGTTGACAAAAACAAGGATTAATTGGAAAGTTCTAGTTCTTCTCTAAAAATTATATTTTTATTAGGACAATCATTGCCACACAATTGGCTAATAAATAATTCATGCCAAGAACCACATCTATGTTAATCAAAGGAAAATATACTAAATCTATATCAAATAACTTGCCTTTGATGTGAAGAGGGCAGTTTTTACAGACTTAGAATGTGGTTAATTTTTCTCTAGTAGGAATTCGTAACTTTAATTTATGAGCAGAAGATAGGGAGATGAAAGAATGGGTATCCCAAGAATCATAAAGAATCAAATAACTTGTATTAGAATCGTACCTTGAACCAAATTTGGAGCTTGAGCCGTTTCCCGGCCACTAAGGGTAAAAACTCTTTTGCTGAAGGTTGGTTGGATAAACTATGTCCTTGATTTTGAGGGCACTGTCTCATCATGTGTCCTAATTTCCCACACATATAACACACGCCTCGCCCTGCTAAGCACTCTCTAATATGATTTTTCCTGCACTTTGGACACACCGGAATCTGAGAATTCATCCAACTTACATTTTCTATCCCTTTATTTCTAACAAGGTTGTTCCCCGAGTTCTGTGATCGTGGATTTTTCCCTTTGTTATTTTTATTGTTCTTTTCTGATTTGCCAATCTGAGTTTCTCCATTTACCTTCTCAGCTTCCATCCTACTTATCTCAATGTCTTGGAAATTGTTTATTAATGATGAAGAGTTTCTTATTTGATGTCCTATTACCATGCTTTTAAGTTTAGATTTTAATCCAGATTCAAACTTAGTTGTTGTGAAATTGTGTAACTCTTCTATCAATCACACCTTAACGCTAGTGCACGTTGTCAACAAGTAATATAGGATGTGTGAGTCCAAATATCGTTCCCATGTAGAAAATTATAAAGTTATGGCCTAAGTAAAGCAATAAGAACGGTAATAAAAGTGTTTAAGGACTAACTAAAATCTAAATTAATTAGACTACTGACTAATGAATAAAATAAGCTAAGACTACTGACTAATTATAAAAATGCACTAAAAAGACTAAGTTTCAAGTATCAAAAGGTAGATTGATATAAATTTCCCCAATATTATAATTTCACCAAA